TTTTGGTAGATAAATTTATGATAAAGATAAAGTTCATGTATTTGGTAGTTTTTTTGTATCAAAAATAAAATCGGGTCAGTGGATAATTAGCCATCTTACCGAATATAATTCACTCCCCCAAATAGGATGCACTATCAAGAAACGTGCATTCAATTGATTTACTGACCTTGATGTTCGTTTCGGAACACTTCAATTCATCACAACAAATTTTTAAGTCCATAAATTTTTAAGAAATTTTTTCCACAAATTCGATGTGATCAACTGAGATTGTTCAACAAGCAGAAATTGGAACTTCTGTTTGTTATATTATCTCACAATTGTTTTCTTGTTCTGGTCGAAAGAATTTGATGGGTCACCCACGATGCGTTTTTAATCAATTGTCATATGCATTAGTCAAGGTCATATTTTTGAATGATAAAATTGTTCGTTACATTATGATATCACCACTTGACGACATTTTTTGTCGTATTGATGTTCGACATTCCATCGTCTTTCGATTGATTTCGATATGTTTTTGTTTCAGCGCTTTGGTGATCGTCTTCTCAGCTATCCACTGTTCACATCTGCAACAAGCGAATTCCATCAGAAATATTGGAACGATTCAACAAATCAACGCAAGAATAGGTTTCAAAACTAGCACATATACCGACTTACTGCATTGCAAAACACATTTTGAACATTCGTAAAACTCTTCCAGAATAATCGCCAGCTAATATGAATGCAAAGTTAAGAGAGCTTAGAAGGACTTACAGTTTAGCCACAGGACAGCACGACTTCAGATGCTCACAGCCCAGTTTCAAATTGGACACAGAAAGGCGACAGTCGTCTGGATTGAGCGTCATCATATTCTGTTGTTGTCTTTCGCATATGGTTCCCTTCAGCATAGAACACTCAGTTTGAGAAAATTTCATTTCAGGGTTTGGTATTTCAGTTAAATGCTAGCTTCCTGAGTATTCAGTCCTACTTCATACAAATATTCCTTCACTGTCACATTTGTTATATTAGAGACGAAAATTTTTCCATTCACGACGACCCAAATCACTCTCATATTTTGATCAGTTTCTGATCATCAATCAATTTCTAGGAAGTGTGTTACCGGAATTTTGAACGGTTCATTTTGACTGTTATCGAATTTGATTGATTCCCGACTAACACATTTTGCCAGATTGTTCTCTCGCCTACTTGAAAGTTGTCGCAGTTCCCTGAAATTACTTTGAAGCCTTAATTTCAGATGCGACTAGGTTACCAGTGCCAATGTCATCTAAAAATAAAAGTGCATCTGAAAATTCAAGTGTCAATGAGAGGTTATGTAAAGCAATGAAGATGTGAGAAATG